AAGTTTGATCATAAGTGTCATTAGTGTTAATTAAAGTGATTTACTCTAATATAAAAGCTGCAACGTACATTAATTGCTATACTGTACTTGTATGTTTGTATAATATATGTGGGAGTGATGAAATTTTTTAACCATAAACGAATATATAGGTATAGTGTTATCGTTATGTATTAACCATTGTGGCTTATCATTAAGTATAAATACACAATAGTCAATTGTATACCGAATGGGAAAAGCGAATACTAATTAAGACACACGAGCCCACATAAATAAATATTATATACTTTATAATATATAATATTATAAATATAGGTACAATGAATAATCATTTCATTTTTTCATACATTTTCGGTACCTATGTAAAACCTATTTTACTTATAATTTTTAAACAATTAACAGTTTATAACACTAAAGTGAGTTTGTAATAAGTGTGTATCAAATTTGATATAATACAAATAAATCAAATTGTTAATAGTTATGCGTATGCATTTATACGTACCTAATCTTTTATATTAACATTTATCGATAATGCGTTGCAAACCACGATTATAAAGAACAAAGTTATATAAAGAATATAGTTCTTTATAATCGTTTTACAAACAACTTAATAATTTCAGGGTACCTTCTTCCATAATACTAGAAACATTAAACAATATTGTATGATTGTAACTTTTTGACGGTCACTATGGTAGTTTTTTGGTTATGACGTATGAACTATGAACACTGAAGTTATCTCCCCCGTCACCGCCGCGTCTTGGTAAAGAGGACGATATCGTCGCCGTCGGGGTATAAAACTATAAATACCTATTAAAAAAAAAAAAAATAGTAGCACGATTATAGATAGTATCTGAAGATATCTGTAGTAATGCGGTGGACACACACAAACACAAGTCAACAAGCCGGGACGCCGGCAAAACCTATATTAGTATCCATGTCATGTCACGTGACGGCAACTGACGCTTTGTGACCAATCAGTTTCATAGCAGATTAATCGACGGACGACAATAACGCCAAAAACTTTTCCTTTGTTTGTGACGCTTGTGTAGTGTGAGTGTGTGACAACTGTCAGTGTTTTTCAATGCAATATTTTTTTCGTGGTCTACGCGGTCTTATAACGTCGGACGACTGAAAAGTGAAAATTGTTTGATGTTACACGATTATTATACCTAGTGTAAACTTTATAATACTGGAACAGTAATCATCAGGTAAGAGTTATTTTTTAATTATTACTAGTTAGGTACTTAGGAATCTGGAATTCGATAGACAACTGGCAGCTACAACTGTCGTCTGTCACGTTTTAAATTCTGAACGGAGTGATGAATGTATTGATTTTACAATGATGTGAGTTTTTTTATTATTTTTATTAAATGACAATATTTAAATATAATAATATATCCTAGACTGACAAATCATCTCCGTTCAGAATCGTTTTTCGTATACAATGATACCTATCATTGCATTCAAACTTAACCTACTCTAGTCCGAGGTTCATGCCACCCCCTAATGTACAGCAGAGCGAGTTTCATTAATAAATGAATGGTATGCATTAATAAAAAATTAACAAAATCATTAAACGCTGAGATGTTTACTATCTAAATTAATTTAGTACATTATAATATAACATTGTTATAAGTAGGTACCAACTTACATTATGTACCTAAATATTTTTTACCTAGCAATATTGTCTTTTTAAAACTACAAACCATTTTTAGGTTAATTTATTCCATATTTTTACAACTTATAGTAGGTATATACCTATTAGAGACGATAATATAATAAAATACATTGTTTATTCCTCGGATTATTCACATCTGGAAGTCAGTGTACAAATAGTTTAATACTATATGGAAGTTTTAGAAGTTAGTGAAAATTTAATGGTAGATTTGTATAATATTTTTAATTAAGACATTTTTTTTTTTTAATTAGGTACCTAATAATATATTATTTTTGTGGTCACATCATATTGTTTATTTGTTATTATTTTGTTAGAATAATGCAAACATAAATAGGTACATTGATAATTACAAAAGTTACTTTTGTACCAATTTAAAAATATATTAATTGTACTAAACTGGTTAAGAACTTACAACCTATATTAATTGATTAATATTTTCCAGGGTAGATTATTTTAACATATTTTATTAGGTACTTCTAAGTTGACACAATATAGGTACCTACAATATTCTAAAATGGTTTGGAGTTTTAAAAATACATTTAGTAAATGTGTGTAAGTGCCCATAGGTATCCTAGATATTTAATTTTATATTCTTGTATCAATTTAATATTTCTAATATGTTGTGTATGATAGCTATTTATTTAGTTTAGCCAAAGTGTATTATTTATTAAACATCATCAGGTACCTACCTACCTATATTAAAGCTTAAATAGATACATCTAACTTAAAGAAATTACTATTAAAACATAAAATGTCATTAAATGTTTTTAAATTTTTTTTTTTTATGTTCATATATTACCTACCTTAATATTTATTAATAACTTGATAAGTATATAATTTATTTATAAATGAAATTTTATTGTGATACCTACTGATGTATAAAAGAATAGAATCAATAATAGTATACATATGTACCTTGGTACACTCAACTCCATATTAAATTAACCACATTCCATTCATTTTTATTTTTTGTCATTTAACTAATTTAATTTATTTATTCTATTTTGTTTTATAAACCAATATTAAAGAAATGTCTTCTGCGTATTACCGACTGAAAAAACATCGTAAATTAAAACGCCGATCGGATGTAGAATTAATGGCATCAGATGTTGAACAAAATGTATTTGAAACTTTGGATTCTTCTATTGATTTACCTATGGAAATTGATGTCTCTAGGAATTCGCCGGGTTACCCTCAGTCTATAGATAGTAGTGAACATACTGATACTCATGAACTTGATGACTATGGTTGTTCAAATTATTTTGACAATAATTCTCCATATTTATCAGATTCATCTTTTGAGTATTCTGACAGATCTCCAGATGGTAGCTTGCCAGACCATGAATCTTGTAAGCAATCTCCATATCCTGATTATGACGAACTGAATAACATTTTGACAGAACCCAGTTTTCGTGAAAAGTTACAAGGCTGGGCTATAAAACATAGAAGCCACCTAACTGTTGAAACAATAGAAGACTTATTAGGGATATTAAGAGCAGAAAATATTCCTAATTTACCCAAATCTGCAACTACCTTATTACAAACTAAGGCAAATACAAATATAAAATTAATGAATAGCCTAAAAAACACAACTGGATTTTATATGTATCTCGGTATAGAACAAGGTTCGAAAGATATAATAACTGATGAATATTCTGAAAATGTTATTCGCTTGTTATTTAATATTGATGGTTTACCATTGTTTAATAGTTCTAACCAACAATTCTGGCCAATATTGGGACTTGTTTTACATGACAATTACGATACACAACCATTTATTGTAGCTGTATATAGCGGTGATTCAAAACCACAAAATATAGATGATTATTTAGAAGATTATGTCAAGGAAGCAAAAAATTTAGTTGAAAATGGAGCAACGATTAATCAAATAACATTTAGAGTAAAGATAGTAGGATTTTCCTGTGACACACCTGCCAGATCATTTGTAAAAAAATGTAAGGGACATGGTGGGTTTTATGCATGTGAGCGATGTGAAACCAGGGGCATGACAATTAATAATAAAAGAGTATATCCTAGTATGACGTCAAGACAACGCACAAAAAGTAGTTTTATAGCAAAAAGTCAAAATGAGCACCATTTAGGAGCAGGTAGATCACCATTATTAGGTATACCAGACTTTGATCCTGTTAAATCAATGTTCTTAGATTCTATGCATTTAATATATCTAGGAGTTATGAAATTGATATTGCAACAGTTACTTGGCACTAAAAAAGTTAATAGAAAATGTAAGCTACCTGTAAATGATATTAATCGTTTAAATTCAAAATTAAAGAGTTTAGTGAAGTATATACCAAAAGAATTTCAACGAAAAAAGTTTGATATAGAGGATTTTTCACATTGGAAAGCTACACAATTTCGTTTTTTTTTACACTACTGTGGGTCATTAACACATTTTAACATCAAAACTGTGGTGCTACATAATATTCTACCCAAACAAATTTACAAACATTTTCTACTTTTAGTAGTGGCGTGTCGAATACTTTGTGATCCCGAATTATGTATTGATAATGTTGATTATGCTAGGCAATTGTTGAGGAAATTCTTTGAACTAATTCCATCTTTTTATGGTTCTGATTCACAAGTTATGAATATACATAATTTAATCCACCTAGCAGATGATGTTGAGTATACCCAAATGCATCTGTCTGCAATATCTGCATTTCCTTTTGAGAACTATCTTGGTAAAATTAAACGATTAATCGGAGGAGGAAGTAATCCTCTGGCACAGTTAGCCAGAAGAATATCTGAACAAAAGGCATGTCCAGAAATGGTGAAAAAAAGTGTTATAAAAAAGAAACAGTTTCTTATAATTAATTCGAACTTAATGAATGAAGAGGAAGTTGATTTGGAAGAAATAGTTTTTCGTGGAGTTACATTAAGTATCAAAAAACCAGATAATATTGTAAAAACCAATTCTGACCATATTCTTCAAATTACAAGGATCAGTAAACAGCAACATAATGTGTTTTTACACGGTTATACATTCAAGGATGTTACTGATGTCTTTCAATATCCATGCGCATCATCAAAAGTTGGAATAATGAAACTGGGAAGATTGTCGGAATGTGAAAAAAAATTTTCTTTAGAAAAGATTCTAAAAAAATGTGTTTTTTTTGAGAATAACTGTAATAGTTTTGCAATCACTTTTCTTCATGATTAATAAAATTAAAATACTTTTAATTTCTTTTTAATATTTTCATTTTACATATTAACTACAATTTTTAGTATGATTATGTAATTATATGATAATTAATTTTAATTCAAAATATATTTTGTATGTGACTGTTTTTTTTAGGTAACCAAAATGAACTTTCAAAAAAATAGTAGTCATATTGTTATTAAATTCCATGAAAAAACTAAACATGGAAAAGAAAGCATTGATGTTATACCAATTTCATGGACGTTTCAAAAAAAGGGTAAATTGTATTGTAAATATCCATCTAAAAAAGAGTACGATAAATTAGATAAAATGAGTAAGGAATCAGCCGTACCTGAAGACTGTTGGAAAATGTTTGAAATCACTAAGGTCAAAGAAGCTAGTACGTACTATATTAAATATCATTCAAATAACTTTATATTATCAATTTAAAATGTGTTAATTTAAGTTAATCAATTTTATCACCAAAAGTTTTTTTTCTTATATTATAGGAAGTTATGATCAAGGATTACGTAGGATGATTAGGGCATGTTCTGATACAGTAATTCATAGCAGTAATGTAGAAGAAAGAAATAGCTCAGAAGAAGAAATTGGTCCTCTTCAATTAAGTGGTTCTACATTAAAAAAATCTTTGGATACAATATGTGAATTGAATGAAAATAGTATTTTTCATATGAATACAGTCGACCAAAAAAGTAATGGCTTAGTTAAATACCTTTGTTATATTGAATGCATGAGGTTTATTAATTTTTTCTATACTACTTAATTGACTTTACATAAAATAGATGATGGACACATACAAAATAATAACACAGATGTTGTCAATATTAGTAGTAGTATAGTATTAGCATCGTCGTCATCATCATCGTCATGCTTACTGAGAAAACAGTCTTCAGACAAAATTGAAAGTAAGTTAAATTACAATAAATTACAATTCAAAAAATAGTATTCTGATTGTTTAACTTTATAACATTGTACTAATGTGTGAATTTAACCATTGGTTTTAGAACAAATTGTTGACAGCAGTGAAGACACAGATTCATCTACTAAATCATTTATGCCACGTAAAAGGAAGAGAAAGATACTACTAAGTAGGGTCAAAAATGACAGTAAGTAAAATTACAATTGAAAAAATAGTATTCTGATTGTTTAACTTTATAACATTGTACTAATGTGTGAATTTAACCATTGGTTTTAGAACAAATTGTTGACAGCAGTGAAGACACAGATTCATCTACTAAATCATTTATGTCACGTAAAAGGAAGAAAAAGATACTAACAAGTAGGGTCAAAAATGGTTTTTTTTTTCAAAACTTGTATGTTTACTTGTATATGACATGTAGTATTCAATGTGCAATTATTTTTCAATAGAACTGCAGTCATCAAAGTATTCTGTGATAGAAGACGAAGCGAATCTAAACAACATTGACCTCACAGTTGTCAATAACAAAGAAAAACTAATTCCAGAAAAAATCAACAAAATAGGTAAATGTTTTAAAATATTATTTTAGATGATACAGTAATTCAATTGTGCATAAATTATATTTAAAGGTGCTACCTCATTGTCTGTTAAAGGTCAAAGAAAGATGAATGAACATTGTCCAACTTGTAGCTGCTATAGTAAACATTCAAGTATGTTTTAAGTATATAAAAATGACAAGTTAAAATCAAATTAAAATAGAATATTTTTAGAACTATTTCTAAACATTTTCTATCATATACAATTAATATTTTATTATTTTTTTTTGTTGAGTATAAGTTATATTATACTTTTAAATTTAGTCGAAACTGGAACAGAATTAATTTAAATATATTTATTTATTCATTTCATCTATTTCAGCTAAAGAATCTGCTACCAAAGCTGATATCGTTTCCGCAATAAGGAGCATCGAGTACCGTGTAAAAGAAGAAGCAAAAATGACCAGGGCTTTGTTTAGTATGAATAGTACTACAGCAGATATTGAGAAAATACTACAAGATGAGACGATTATTGATTTGCCAAAAACTAATTTAGAAGCCTTCCAGGTTTTTGATGAACAATTAAAAACTAATGTTGAGTTATTAAAAAAACTGGTAAGAATTATTTCAGAATTTGTACAAAATATATATTTTTATTTTTTATCAACTATTATTAACTTTCAGAAATGTTACATGGTCTATAATATTAAGAGTACAACAAAAATATCAGAAATTTTTACAGCGTTAATCCCACGAATTATTTCAAAGGATGTACAGTTACTCTACACCGCCTTTGGAAGAGAAACAAAAGGTGCAAAAAAATTGAATTTTTCTGGGACAGAAACTTACAAATATTTACTCGGTACCTATACATTTAATTTTTTTTTAATATATTGTTTGTAGTTAAACATTTAAAAATGGGTATATATATTTTGATTTTAGATGTCATCTCTACGAAACTAACAAATATTGACAGTAAAGAAATTTCTAGCCAACTCAGTCGCTGGTTTTCGGGTGCCAAAGATAGAGATGGCGGAAAGAGGGAGATACTTGATAAAAAAAAATACTGTTCTAAAACCACCGACAATTATTAATAAAGATTCTATTGTTACTATTTTAATTGTAATTATTATTCATTGTATTTTTTAATACTATAGTAATCATGTTTTAAATTGTGTTATAAAAAAAACTTTGAGTGAGGGGTCTCTTTCACCCAGCTCTCCTCATACAATTTAGAGGTGGGAAAAACAGAGCCCTGACATGAAACTATTTAGTAAAGATAAATTTTTTTTTTTTTGTATTGTGGTAATCCTCGCAATATGAAGAACATTACAATTTATAAGTATATAAGGTACCTCGAGGATCCATTTGTAGACAGTTTTAAGTATTATTTTAGTACTGGCTCAGTACTGAAAATCCAATACTGGGGAAGCGTCATAATCCCAGACATACGCCAGTACATGGCCATTACTGGCTGCCAGTAGCGCACCAGTATTATTTTCAGTACTTACCCAGTACTGAAAATCCAGTACTGGAAAAGCGTTATCATCCCAGACATACGCCAGTACATGGCCATTACTGGCTGGCAGTAGCCAGTAGCGCACCAGTATTAGTTGGTACTGGCACAGTACTGCGCCTGTTGTGAATTTCCGATTGGGCATAAATGAGCCTAATATAAATGTATGTACATTTTTCGTCAACAAGTTCATAGAACTTACATGTTTCAATTTTTCAATTTATTATTAAATGATTTCGGGAATACAATAAAATTCAGCGTATTATTATTTAGGTAATAAAAATAGAAATAAATCATACATGAGGGTTAATGGTAATGTTAGAATATTCAAATATATACATAGTTTTTACTAAAGGTTCGTAACCAAAATAACTATCGATCATTTTCAATTTTCACAATTTATAAAATGTACAATTCATATCTATTAACTTATCAATAAAATATTATGTTGCTTTTAGAAATACTAAATTTAAAAACAGCGATTATCATTAATTTCTTATATATTAATATATTATAATATAGAAAACTTATGTCATGGTTATGTGTCGATAACTCATGAAATTAATTTAATCATTAATAACGATTTGTCCAATAGTTAATTATTTGAATGGTTTATTATTTATAAAATGCGTTTGTAATAAAATATAATCATAGTTATTTTTGTTTAGTTTAATTTATAATGTCCGTATGGTAGTGTACAAATACCATCTTTTAATATAACGCGTTTATCATCATTTGCACTCAATACTATTTTTCTCATTGTTTTTGAAAATACATTATGAATGGTCGCCTGTATTGAATTAATATAACAGTGGGCATTAATTTGACTAGACTCGACATTAAGTGTATCAAAATGCTTAGAATTTTGTATTCTGAACTTTGTTAAAATATCTAAATAATGATTAACTGTCATATACTTGTCTCTAACATATTTTTTTACCCCTTTTGCTTTTTTGTGTTCAATACCACTTACTGTATAACCATATAATTTGGGCCTTAGCGTAACAAATTGCGTCATAATCTCACCCTTTAGTTCATCTTTAAACAATCCTGGTATGTTCTTTTTTTTACCACTGTAGCAAAAATGGTTAGTTGGAAAATTAGATGTATCAAAGTGACACAATAAATCAAACTTTAAATCATTAAAAAAATTATTTGACTTAATAGGTACGGTATATTAATGAATCGGTATCAGTGTATAACAGTGATATTTTTTCCCCGTATTTATTTTTCATTACCTCATAGTGGAAATTATAAATAAATGTTTTTGAAATGTCCAAAATAGAAAATCCAACGTATATTGGCTTATCAAATTTAATTTTTACTTTTTGAAAATGCAAAGACATTAAGTCATTAGTGTATATAGTCCTATCTAAGAAATTAGGTTTTCTCATTAGTCTATGAGCTTTTCGATCATTGGATACTAACTTTATATCCAATCTTTTCCTAGGATTTTCTATACATTTCCCATAAACACTATTCACGAGTAATTTCCAAAATGCATATTCAAACTTGTTTTTCGCCAAGACCCTCATACTGGTACATTTATTAACACAGGGGGCTAACCATTTTGATTGATCAAACTTAATTATTTTATAGACTTTTATGACTTTTAAACCGTGGCGTATTGCCTGTTTTAATAACCTATAGTGAACTATGTAATTTGATTTATTATTTAAAGTTGTTAGCAGTTTATTAATCTTAGAATTAGGGGGGGGGCAACTATTGTGGGGCAAAAAGGGTAAATCACTATGAATATCATGTAATTTTTCAGGGTAATCCACATCCACTTCCAGTATATATCCAATAGGTGCGTCATCATCTATTGTAGTAAAGTCTAAAGTAAAATCATTATACCATTCAAAATATATGTATGGAAAACTTGCAAGCATTGATTTGCCGTATAGATTGACGCAATCAAAATATGCTAAATAAACATGCGGTTTTTTTTGTTGTAATTAATTCCATCAATATCGGGTATATTAGCTCTAGCATAACGTCTCACAGATTGGCATAACCCGCCTCTTATTCCATTTTCTATCATGAGAAGCATTGAATACTCTTTTAATCTCTCAAGTTTTATACCCGTATAATATAACATTGCGTCAAATGCAAAACCAGGTGCTGTCAAATAATAAGCGGCGTCTAAATTAAAAGTTTTCAAACAAATATCTCTAAAATTTTCAAATACATCAGCCAGAATCAATATGTCAGTTAATAAATATAAATCACTATACTCCCCTAATGTTTTTATATTAAATTTCTCCCAAACATTACATGCAAGCATATAATCATTTTTAGAAATATGATCATCTGTTAGTGAATTATAAAATTTAAACCTAGGTGGTAATGTGGTGTCTTTAAGTTTTGAGTTACAGTCTACATACTCATACGGAAATACTCCCTTCCGAATAACTAAATCAATATTTTCTGGCGGAAAGTGATGCATAATTTCACGGAATCTTATTTAATCCTCAGCCAAATTAGTGGCTAAATTAGAAAGTGATTCTGACATGAACATAAAAGTGTCTACAATTTTTACATACAATTTATCTAAAATTTGTTTACTAAATGATAAATATTTTTCACCCGAGTTTGGAATAATACGTATGTCATTATCGTTACGGGCATCTCTCGTTTCCGCCAAAAAACCGGTTCCCTGATTAAGGTCATCAAAAACGAAAAAGGTACGATTCCCGTTTCCGCCAAAAGACATTTCCGCAAAAGAAAGTTTGGAAACCAATAGTATTAATTTATAAGCAATATATATGTTGCGGTATATATAAAATAAAATAGTAATGTAAAATGGGTACAACAATATATACAGCGATAATTGTTGATAATCGTCGATAACGGAAGGTAGTATACACTGTATCATAGTTTATTTTATAATTCGCACACAATAATTATCTGACAAATGTTAAATTCTTATGAAAATGAAATTAGTAGGTACGAGTTTGTCAAAACTGTTTCTTGTAATTAAATGATTTTTTAAAACCTAACCTATACTTAAGAATGTGATTTTTAAAACCTGAAATATACTTGTATTATAATAATTAATATTTTTATGACATTTTTAATTATTTAAAAATAAGGGTATGTTTTTTCAAAACTCTATTGAGATTTGAGACTATATTTGACCTATACTCGTATTATAATTTGAAATAGTTAAATATAATATACTATTATTATCTACTTGTACTATAATTTATAATAATAAAAATATTTTTATATGATAAGAATATGTGAGATTTGTACATGGTTCTTAAATTGCCGGAAACGTCTTTTCACAAAAATATATTCGCTATATATTGTTGTACCTATTCGCAATTTCGCAATTATTTACAAATGTCATTGCTATTACCTACATTTTACATGACTATTTTATTTTATGTATACCAAAACATAAATATTGCTTAAAAGTTAAGACCATTGGTTTCCAAACTTTTTTTGCGGAAATGTCTTTTGGCGGAAACGGGACTCGAACCTTTTTCGTTTTTGGCGGAAACGGCCAATATTATTTTGGCGGAAACGGGTAACTCCCATCGTTACAATCGGAGGTGCGATAAATTATGGAAGTATACTGGTAAAAATGATGGCTTTTGTGCCAAAAAATTACAATTTAAACATAAAGCCCTTAAATATTTCCCCGTAAGATGAGAGTGGTCTCTAACTTTCAATACGGTTTCATTATTAAATTCCCTCGAACAAAGTTAACATTTTGTTGAATTAATATATTGCCTTTCTTCTTTTTTTGTTAATGTACTCATTGATTTATTAATATTATATGCATTATAAATTTTGGTAGAATTATCAATTATAGTTGACATAAAATGCTTTGAGGCACTTTTGCCTCTATAAATTATGGGATTTCTAGGAATTTTAAATTTTTTTACTAATTCTTTTGGAACAATACTGTAATCAATTTTAACATATAACCCATAACTCATGGGTTTATGATAATGGGTGTTTTTAGTATTGGCTGTTATAATATTATTAACTGGTTTTAAAAAGCATTCAAAATCGGCATAAATTACAATAGGAATTCGGTCAGCTTGATTATATTTATTAAAATATATTGATTCATCGTCATGTGGATCAATCATTACAGGCTTACACACGGAAAAAAATATTTAGTTTTGTCAACAGAATTTATTGTTATTTTAATTATAAAACATAGTTCTCCGGGGGACAACTGTAAAATTAGCTGAAATTGCCAATACAATTTGATTGAACACCTTATAGTTGAAATAGCAATATGTATTATAGCTGTATTACAAAATTATTAATTACAAAATAATGACCATTTCAACTAAAATAAATAGGTAAAACCACTATCATAATTTGTAGCAACAGCTATAATTAAAATAGCTTTATTTAAATAGTTGTTTGTTTTGACTATAATATATATACATTATAGGCGTTTCTACTTTTTTTTATACATGAACCAACTATATTTATAGTTACTTTTGTTAGAAATAATTCTTTGTTACAGCTATAATAATTAGATACAAAAACTATTTTTTATTGGCAGATACAATTTAAATATAATATATAATGGCCATTTATACTAAAGTA